TCGCAGGCGGTTCCTCCGGCTCTCGGCCCGGGATATCGCTACGCGTGTACTTGCTAAGCAAGGAGACATGGAATACCGGGTGCACCGGCACCGACTTCGGCAGGATTAATTCGTAATCCAGGTCTCCGAGTTTTCGCCGCACGGCATATGGTCCAAGGCGCTTGGGACTGAGCTTCTTGCTCGGCTGTTTCAGCTTAAGGTTCCGGGCATCAAGCCAGACCTTATCCCCCGGCGCGAAGACCGGTGCCTGTTGCACGTGCTTATCGTAGTACACTTTCATACGCTCGGCCGACAGCTCGAGCGCAGAGCGCGTATCGTCGCGAATCTCCTTCAGGATCTTGAGCCGATCAGCGGCCGCAGGCATCGCGGACATCGGATTGATCCGAACCTGGATCTCAGGGTTGTACCCTTGATGCAGGAAGAAAGGGGAATGCCCGGTCGCGGAGTGAACTCGGTTATTCAGTGCGAATTCCGCGAGCGGCAACTGCTTCGCCCAATCATCCTGCCTGTGGCTTGTGAAGGCACGCAGGTACTGTTCGATTTCCTGATTCCAGCGCTCAGTCTGGCCGTCTGTCTGAGGGTGAAATGCTGTGGACAGCGCCGGCTCGATTCCCAGACCCTTGTACACTGCCTGGAGATATTTCGAAGCGAACTGGGGGCCTCGGTCTGATATGACCTTGGCCGGGGCCCCATGATGCTTGAATACATCGCGTATGTACAGGTCTGCCGCACCTTCTGCTGTCAGGGTCTCATGACAGGCCGAGAAGTGGACCTGCTTGGTAAAGCGGTCAGCGGTAACCAGGATCGAGTCGAATCCATCAGACTTCGGCAAGCCAACGATCATATCGGTCGTGATGATCTGCCACGGGCGCTCGGGGATCTCGTTCGGCTTCAGCGGACCCTGGGGTTTGGCTGGGAATGTCTTGGTACGGTTGCACACATCGCAGGTGCTTACGTACTCATTGACGAATTTAGACATCCCAGGCCACCAGTAGTTCCGCGATACGAGCTCAAGGGTTTTGGCACGACCGCCATGGCCGGCGATCGGCGAGTCGTGGTGGATCTTGACGATATCCCGCCGGAGCTCCGCGTTCTTCGGGACGTACACGCACCCACGGAACAACAGAAGCCCTTGTTCGGCATTCCACTCCTCAAAACCCCTTTGCAGCCGGGGCGGCCCGAGGTCCTGTACCTTTTCAAGTGCCTCGGCTACCTCCCGATCTTTCTCCGAACATTCCCTGATACGCTTCAGAAGTGACTGATCGGCCGTCACCGAGGCATGACCGCGCCGGGCGGAAGCGATGCGGAAGCGCTCTGGCTTAAGAACCACCTGATCGGTGTTATCGTCCTCATCGCCGATCTGATGGTCTGATCGACGCGACAGGGCATCAGCCTTTCCATTGGACGTCCCGGCCTTGTGCGTGATGCGGAAGTCGAAGCGAGCCAGGAACAGTGACCACCGCGCTTGACGACGCGTGAGATGCTGAGATGTACGCCAGTACTCGAGGTTCTTATGATCGGTCACGATCTCGAACTGATTGGGTAACCCCTCGAGGTAGTGGCGCCAATCGTCTAGCGCCTCAATGATCGCGAGCATCTCCTTATCGTAAATCTCGTAGTTCCGCTGCGCCGGATCCATCGCATGTGATCTGAAGGCGATGGGATGCCATTTGCCGTCATCCTGCTTCTGCATCAACACGCCGCCAGTGGCGTACCCCGAGGCGTCAACCTCAATGCGCGTCTCCCGATTAGGGTCGTACAGCGCCAAGACTGGAGTCGTCGCGAAGAGCCGCTTGAGCTCATCGAAGGCGTGCTGCTCTTCCTCGCCCCAATGCCATGGGTCGTTCCCTGTGAGCCGGTCGAGTGGTCGCGAGATCTTAGCAAAGTCCTTAATGAAGCGGCGGTAGAAGTTGGAGAACCCCCGGAACTTCTGAACGTCTTTTTTGTTCCGGGGCACCGGCCACTCATTGATACCTTTAAGCTTCGCGGGATCCATCGCCACCTCATCGCCACCGAACACATAGCCGACGTAGTCGACCTTGGGAACGTCCCATTCGCACTTCTCAGGCTTCAGGAACAGATCATTGTCCTGAAGGCGACGAAGGACCTCGCGTGTGACCTTCTCGTGCTCCTCCTTGTTGGTGGAGAAGACGAGTATGTCATCCAGGTATACGAGAATCTTGCCACCAACGATGAGATCGTGGAATATCTCGTTCATCATTGCCTGGAAGGTCGCGGGGGAATTGGTGAGGCCGAAGAACATCACCAAGGGCTCGTACAACCCTCGGTTAGTCACAAAGGCCGCCTTCCATTCGTCACCGGCCTTGATCCGGACGTTATTGTATCCCCATCGGACGTCGAACTTTGTGAAGAGCGTAGCGCCGCGGAGCTTATCCACCATCTCGGCGATCAACGGTAAGGGATAACGATTCTTGACCGTGATCGCATTCAACCGGCGGTAGTCCTGTACGGGTCGAAGTGTCCCTTCCTTCTTTTTGATGAAGAAGAAGGGGGACGAGATCGGTGACTTCGACTCCCGTATGTAGCCTTTTGCTAACTGCTCCTTTAGGAATTTGTCCAATTCCTCCTGCTCGTTGTTCGACAACGGGTATACCTTCGAATGGAAGGTCGAGTAGCCGGGCACGAGTTCGATCGCATGATCGTACGGCTTCCTTTCGGGTAACCGTTCTGATGCTTCCTTGGAGAAGACATTCAGGAACTCGTGGTACTGTTTAGGCACCGACTCTTCGGCGGTCTTAACGACCTTCTTCTTGATCTCTTCCTCAGCGAACAGCTGGGAATACGTGTGCCCTGCTGCGACGAACAGCTGAGGGGCGCCGGGAAGCGTGATACCCTGCTCCCAGGCTTCGATCAAGTCTGTCTCATCCCATTCCACTTCCACCGAATCTTCTTCGGGTTCGAAGTCCGGGAGCACCTTGCTCCGGCAGGCACCTATGACCGACCGTTTGGACTTCGGCGAACGCCTGCGCGCCGTGGGCCTGACCCCCGTATCACGCGCAGTCGCTGCTTGCTCCATTCAGCCAGTCCTCCTGGCGCTACACGTTTCAGGGCATCGCGACAATTTGAGGGAGCCCTTCTCCCAATCTATTTCGGGGTTGTGCTCGCGTAGCCAATCCAACCCGACGATCACATCCTCTGGACCGATGTCCGTGACCGTAAACACCGTTTTCTCGACGTGTTCTCCTATGTGCATCTGTAGCACTGCTACTTCTGAGATGCTTCCATCCTTATTCAGGGTGCCGTCGATATTGTAGAGCGGAATCGGCTCTTTTAGCTTCCGCGTCTGCACCTTATTCTCTTCGATGAATCGCTTGTTGATGAACTTCGTGGTGGCTCCGCTGTCCACCATAGCGATTATGTCTTTGTGCCGTCTTTTCCCTTGGAGTCGAACTGGAATGTGAAAATGCTGGGACCCCTGGTCCAGCTCGTACACCATTGCAGTCGACAATACGTTATATCTATTACATGATGATACTCGCGGCCCGACACGTGCGGCACGAAGTGCGGACCGGATCAAAAACCCTCCTCCTTCATTGCCCGATAATGCTCGAGCTCTTTGCACATCGACTTCACCTGTGCCATTAAGTCCGCCAGCTCCGATTGCTCGGATTTCGCTGAAGCGGCACTTATACTTGCCGAGGGTGATGTCGTGACGGGGGCGCTTGTCGCCGCCTGGGTGGATCCCGAGGCAACCGTAGCCCGCGCGTCGGCGCGTTTTGTGTAAGGCTTGTCCTTACAATTGGGGCACTCGAAGCGTCGGTACCCTTGCTTCCCACAGCCGAAACAGGTGCCGGGGAAGTTGCCTTTTCCGACGGCCGCATTGATGCTGGCCGAAGCTGCGTGCGTCGATGGTGCACCACCACGTGCCCCACCGCGTCCTTGACCTCGGGTCGAGAAGAAGTTATTGAGCTTGGGCCGACAGGCCCGGCTAATGTCGAGGATCTGCTCGACCTCAGTGGCGCGCTTGTCAGCGTCTTGCCACGTGGTGAAAGTCTCAAGCTCGATCTTTCGGTAGACGCGGGAGGGGATGCCGCTCAGGTACTTGTCGCGTAGCTCCAGGTCCCCATACCCAGAGCGGTCCGCCGGACCCTTGAACAGCGCGGAAAATTCCGCAGTGGTGCATTTTTCACGGACCGACTTGTCCGCGCAGAGCTTCGCCAGCTCTACTTGTGCTGCCGCCTCGTCGTCGAGATTTCCGAAGCGGGCCTTGAAGGCGGCGGCAAAGGCCGCTTCGTTTGCGAATGGGGTTGTAGCCCCTTGTACACCTATCTGCACTGATACGAGCTGGGCGAAGTAGGGGGTGGCCCAGGCGCGGGCGTCACCGTCGAGCAGGCTCAGTGCGACCTGTACTTTGAGTTCGATGGTGGTCAATGACGTGTTGACCATCCAGTAGATGCGTAGCTGCGACAAGAACCTGTCGCAGTCGATGACGGTTTTGCCATCGTATCGGAGAGGGAGGAGGAGCTTCAATGTCTCCTTGTCGAGGGCGGCTGCGGGAGAGGACATTATCGGCGACGAGGGGGACGAAGGACTGCCCGCGGACGAAGGCGACTGTTGTGACTGTCCGCCGGGCGAACTTCTCGAGGAACGAGTGCTTGAGCGGCCTCGCGGCGGCGACGGCGGTGAAGCCGGTTGAGGAAGCCCGGAGGCGGGGTGACGTAGGACAGGGACTGAAGTCGAGGCGGTGACTGCTGACGACGAGCTGGCCCAAGAATGCGGCGGAGTGTCGCGGGGCTCGGTCTTGGGAGGCCTTTCCAGCCGCGGCCCCAAGGAGGGCTGGGGGATTGCTTGAGGGGTCGCTGAAGGCTGTGCGACTGCCTCAGTTCCTCGAGGAGATAGGGATCTCCTCGCGCTTGACCTGTACTGGCGACAGGTTGGGGGATGCGGGTGCCTGGCGAGGCAGGTCGGGATGGGACGGGAGTGACGTGGTGAGATGTAGATCTCGAGGTGCCAGCGTACTGGAGTGCAGGGCCGCGGGGATGTTGGACCCGTCGGATTGGTACGAAGTGTCCTTCGTCAACAGTGATGGACCGTGGGGTGCGATTAGGGCACGGTTGTCGATCACAGATGAAGAAAGGAGCTTTGTCTCCGTCGCTTTTCGGGTCGTCACGAGAGACGTCGACCTGCTCCTGGGTGTCGAAGGCGTGCTCAAGTCGAGAGTAGTCGAAGAATTCGTCAGCCACGGTGATGGGGGGAGGAAGGGGAGGTGCGCGTGCTACGAAAGGCCGTGCTAGCTAGCTTACACCTACGGCGCCCAAGAAGACACTAAGGTTCGCAGTTCACGTGGGGCCCAGTACTGCTTTTGGCTAGTATGCAGCAGGAACCTAAGCCACGCGTCCGTGAGGACAAGTATCGCCCACTGAAGTGCAGATACCGAAGAGTTCGTCCCTTAAGTGGTGGCGATGTATCGTAGGCTATCTAAGTATCGTAGGGTATAGTAGGGGTGCGCACCACCCAACCTATAGGAGAGGAAAGATGAGTGTTTGTTTTGGAACGCCGGCAGCGTTGAGGAGTTTCGACCTAATGTCGCGACTTAGGGTCGAGCGACAGGGGAAAACCAAACGCTGGGGGCGTTCGACTTATCTTACCGAAGCGATGGTGAGCTAGGCTCAAACCTAAGGCTAGGGACAAGAGGTCGAAACTGAGGTCCCTAGGGCAGCAGAGGCAGGCTTATATAC